CCTCTCTCTTCCCCTCTCCCACCTCCTTTTCCCAGTCTCCCCCAGTTTTGACAGATTCCATTTTTTAACACAATTGTCCTTTATTTTGTACATCAAGAAGAGGGGGTAGGGAAGGGTAAGTGGAAGGAGGTGAGGGAGGAATGGGGTATGAGCCCCCGATGGGGAGGACTGGGCTGGCTCTGCGGGCTGCTCGGGGTGGAAGTTCTCCTGCAGCCCCCTGATTGTCCCCTCCCCCCGGATGGCAGCCTGCAGCAAGTGCAGCCAGGCTGATGGCCGAGTGCTGTGATATTCCGAGTGTGGGCACTCAGGGCACTCCAAGCCAGGACTGCTTTGCAAGCGGGGCACCCCTGAGAACTGTCTGTCCGGGGTGGGGGTCGGGTTCCTTTAAGCACAGCCCTCGGCTAGCCTGAGACAGCAGCTCCACACTCTAAGTCCTACTCTGATGCCCTGCCGGCACTGCTTCCGGCCATCCTTAACCTCTGTTCAGGGTCCACTCAATGGGGACATGCTGGTTCGAATTAGCAAAACGCTAATTCGAACTAGTTTTTAGGTCTAGATGCGCTAATTCGAATTAGCTTAGTTCGAATTAACTAATTAACTAAGTTAGTTCGAATTAGCGCTGTAGTGTAGACATACCCTCACTGACTTAACTTGTAGTTAGCATGGGGGACATTCACTTCTGTGCAGAGGGCCAACACAGGATCTTTGCTCTATTTAAACTGTCAAAATAATGTTTAAGTGGAATTTAAGTGATGTAATAGGCCTAGTGTTGAATAGGGTTGAATTTCACTGAATGAAATGCTGTCATAGAAGCCACAGACTTATTTTTAGTGAGGCCAGGATTTCATCCTGTGTGATTTATTGCCTGTGTAAAATGTAAGGGCACAATTATGGTTTCTAATCAGATCTTTCCATGTTCAAAGACAACCAGCTTTACTTTGAGTTGAGCCTACCATTAAATTTCAGAGTCAAACATATATCCATGAATGCATACACTTATTTTGGCTGTTTACAAGTGTTTTTAATCTGTCAAATTACATAAAGCACTTACCCTTTTGGGTTTTCTTGATCACTGTTAAGTTTTTCATTTAGTATAAGCTGTTTATGGGATTCCTGACCTCCAGCTCCATTGTCTGCCTCAGGAGGAAAGAAGCACTGCTGTACCACAAATCAGAACATAAGATTTTTATACACTTATTCACATTGTGTATTTCTCAAGAAATATAGCATGTCACACATGCATTTAGATATAATTTTTCTGTCTTTAGCAATGCTTTTTCTCACTTTATCATCCACTCCAAAGGCTATGTAAAATGGACTGCACAACTTCTGCACATTATCCCCATTCTAGAGATAAGAAAAGTTAAGACACAGACTAAATGACGTTATTAGCATAGGTTTAAGAGGATTTGGCATGGATTCATGGGTTTTTTTCCTCATAGCCCTAAACAAGCACAAATGATACTATTTAAAATCCAGTAGTTGTCTATGCAACAGTTTCCAGAACAGTTCCTCTCAGACTCAAACCACATTATGAACGCTTCAGAAGTTTTGACACCCACATCGATAAACCTGAATCATCTTACTTGGCATTTGTACTGCAATGTTCTGACATACTGTGTATCTCAGCAATGACAAAGGTTGAGTCAGTCTGTTGTACAAATTTAACATTGGGTCAGAAACTTAATATTGGAACAGTAGAATATAGTTTAATATACATTATCACATTGGATAAAATAAACAAACAAGCTCATCCAAAGGATTCAATTATACATGAAAATATACCATGTACCATTTCATTTGACGAGTGCTTATTTGCTAGCAGTTGTGCTTTTTCCAGAGGCTCCATTCCTCTTACAAAGGCAGATGCATCTCTTTTTTGTAATACCAACTGGCTGAGAAAACAGCAATTTTTATTTTAAAATACAGTTTTTAATACGTAATAGCAAGATTATTATCATGTGTCTCTCCAACAGAGCAAGCTTCAATATAGATATAACTCACAAATACAGTCTGGACCTCCCTGGTATGACACCCTCGGGACCTGACCAGTCCTAAATGCGGGATTTTGCCAGATATTGGGAGGTCATTTCTGGCCTCCCTACCACTATCCCCACCAGCCCTGGCCTAGCTGCCAGGTTCCCGGCCAGCTCCCCCACTGCCGCTGGCCCTGCTGTGCGCTGAGCTCTTGGCGCCGCCAGGCAGCCCTCCACCAGCTCTCTCTGGTCCAGGAACATCCACAGTCTTGCTGGACCATGGATGTTGCCAGACCAGAGTGTCACGGTTTAGAGAGGTTAAACCTATACCAATAGTCTGCTGATTCCCTAAAAAATGGAATGGAATAGGTAGTGATTTTGGATATTGACATACCTTCATGCTGTTTTTAAAAAATTACTAAAGGGAATAATTGTGCACTAGAAGGATGGTTGGATTAGGTCACTCAATAGGTCATGCAGTGGCATAATCTAACACCCAACCAAATTAACCAGATTCTTTTGATTTCAGTGGTCATTTGATCCGATATGCTCAATAAATGTCTTCAAACTTAGTAATTATAAATCCACTTTAATAAATGACTTCAATACCTATCACAAAGATTAATACTTACATTTTAGGAAAAGGATCACAATTGTCATCTTGTAAAGAAAGCTGACTGGTTTTCTTAGGGATCACGTCAGTCACATGACTTCTATTCTCTTCCTCATTCCTTTTATTATTATTATGAAAATTTACTTCAATAGCAGACCTTTCTGGAGGATCACTAATGATTGAAACTGTGGGGCTCTGTACAAAGCAACCATATTACTGATAACATAAAGACATTAACAACAGATGATTATTGTATTCTCTAAAACAGGGGCAAGGCATTTTTCTCAATTAGGGGCTGCACACCAGTGAGAAGCAAAAAAACCAAACAAACCACACCTCACTGATCTGGCTCTCAACAAGAAAAAAACCCCAAAACCAAAGAACAAAACAAAAACAATCTCACAACTCACTGACTTGGTTCAGGGGCTGCTGGCTCTCACACTACAGTGTGCATGTGTGTGTGTGTGTGTTTATGTGTGCATGCGTGCGTACTGACACTTGGAGTTGCTGGAGCTCGTGGTCCAGCCCATAGGGGCAATGAGGCTCGGAGCTCCCAGTGGTCATGCTCCAGCCCTGGGGGATGGAGACACTAAGGCTCACTGTGGGCTGGATACAAGTAAGCCGAAGGCCAGACCTTGCACACAGGCCATTGTTTCCCCATCTCTGACCCAAAACCTTGCCCTTGCAACCTAAGATTTCCTGAAAATCTATGCAATTCGGGACTCAGAGAAGGACTCTTATCAGAATTCATATAGTATTTCAAACAATTAGTACAGTTAGAAAGCATTTGCTTGGTGACATGTAAAAGAGTGGGAAACCTCCAATTTGCACTTTGCAGCGTATGATCCAGGACTAACCAGTACCATTTTCACCAGCTTTCTATGATATATAAGAATGTGAGCCTCTGAGGCAAACTGTGATATTTATTAATCTCACTGAAGCAGAAGGTTACCATTGTTATAACTTTTCTCTATTAAATTATAGTGATTCACTTGCAGAAACAGCTTTTCAATTTTTGCAAAGATTAAAATGTTTTGCTTTTCTGATAACAAATATGTTTTTCGTACTGACACTGGGGCTGCGTCTACACTGGCATGATTTTGCGCAAATACTTTTAACGGAAAAGTTTTTCCGTTAAAAGTATTTGCGCAAGAGAGTGTCTATACTGGCATGTGTCTTTGCGCAAAAGATTTGCTTTTGCGCAAAAGCATCCGTGCCAATGTAGACACTCTCTTGCACAAAAAAGCTCCAATGGCCATTTTAGCCATCGGGCTTTCTTGTGCAAGAAATTAACGTGGCTGTCTACACTGGCTCTCTTGCACAAGAATACTTGCGCAAGAGGGCTTATCCCTGAGTGGGAGTGTCAGAGTATTTGTGCAAGAACCACTGATTTTGTACATTATAAAGTCAGTGTTCTTGCGCAAATACTCGCAGCCAGTGTAGACAGGCGGCAAGTTTTTGCGCAAAAGCAGCCGTTTTGCGCAAAATCTTGCCAATGTAGACACAGCCTGGGAGTCTTTTCTCCCAACACAGATGTCATCTATTTAAGTTTTGATCAACATGGCTAATGAGATACTTTAAAGTTTAAATTCAGGAATAAAATATATTACTTTCTTTAATTAACAATCTGCATTTTAGCAAGGTATTGACTCTTAGAAGCGTAAGATCAAATTTGCACAACCCTGTTGAAATTAATGAAAAGAAGAGCTTGCTCTGTAGATTACAGAACTTGATGAGTTACCTCAGGAACACAAGAACTGGATGACCACACAGATTCACATGGAGTGAGTGAAGGAGATGTAGGAGATGTGAATGAAGATGGATATGGACTACATCTATTGTCATCGATTTTCTCTTTGACATCTTCAAGCAGCATTCCAAGCCTAAATATTTCCCCCTCCAACTTTCTAAACCCAAATACAAAATACAGAGTTATATAATCAGCCCTTCAATAAACTTTTGGCTTTTTGTATATCACTGCAGTATCAAAGTTGCATCTCTCTCCAAAAATAAAACAATAACATTAAATAGATTCAAAGGGATAGCTGTGTTAGAATGTAACTTTAAAAACTAGTAGTCCTGTGGCACCTTAGAAACTAACAAAAATATATAGTATCATGAGCTTTCATGGGCAAAACCAACTTTATGTGATGAAGTGAGTTTTGCCCATGAAAGCTCATGATACCATCTATTTTTGTTGGTCTCATTAAATAGATGAAAGGAAACCACAGTTAAATGCTTGACTCTAAACAAGGGGAAATAAGAACAACATGGGTAAATACAAACCAGTCAGTTCAACTTCAGTACCCAGAATGATAGTAGAGCGAGTAAGTAAGCAATAATTTGCAAACACCTACAAGGTGATAACTAACACTCTGCATGGGTTTCCTCAAGAACAAATTGTGCGGGACCAGCTTAATATCTTTCTTTGACAGGTAAGAAGCTTTGTAGATGGTAGGGGTATTAAATGGCATGAAGCTTATTGATACACTTACTGGTTAATTGGAGGAGAGTGGAAATGCCATCATCAAATCTTATGGCCTTGTGATCTCCCCGCTGGGTTGGAACAGCCCCAGCTACAGAGGAGCCAGCAGGCCTGGCAGTGGGATCTCACAGCCATGGCTGCAGCACAGCTGGGTGACAGGCCCTGAGTTAAAATGATTAACTCCTTATTGAAGGCACAGAAAGAAGCTATCCCGATGTATAGCAAGAGAGGCAAACATGGTAGGAGACCGGATTGGCTTACAGGGGAAATCCTTGGTGAACTTAAGCACAAAAAGGAAGCTTACAAAAAGTGGAAACGTGGACAAATGACCAGGGAGGGGTTTAAATGTATAGCTCGAGAATGCCGGGGGGTTATCAGGAAGGCAAAAGCGCAAATGGAATTGCGACTGGCTAAGGATGTGAAGGATAACAAGAAAGGTTTCTACAGGCATGTTAACAAGAAGAAGGTGATCAGAGAGGGTGTGCGGCACCTACTGGATGAAGGAGGTAACCTCGTGACAGATGATGTGGGGAAAGCTGAAGTACTCAATGCTTTCTTTGCCTCTGTATTCACGGACAAGGTGGCCTCCTGGACTAATGCGCTAAGTGATGCAAGATGGAATGAAGATGGACAACCCTTGGTGAGTAAAGAAAAGGTTAGGAACTATTTAGAAAAGCTAAACGTGTACACTAATCCATATCTGGACTTAATGCATCCGAGGGATTTGGCAAATGTCATTGAGGAGCTTTTGGCCATTATCTTTGAAAAGTCATGGAGATTGGGAGAAATTCCGGATGATTTGAAAAAGGCAAATGTAGCGCCCATATTCAAAAAAGGGAAGAAGGACGATCCAGGGAACTATAGGCCGGTCAGTCTTACCTCGGTTCCTGGAAACATCATGGAAGGGATCCTTAAGGAATCCATTTTGAGGCACTCGGAAGAAAGGAAAGTGATTAGGAATGGTCAGCAAGGATTCACAAAGGGAAAGTCGTGCCTGACCAATCTGATTAGCTTCTATGATGAGGTAACTGGCTCTGTGGACAAGGGAAAGTCAGTGGATGTGATATACCTTGACTTTAGCAAGGTTTTTGATACAGTCTCCCACAATATTCTTGCCAGCAAGTTAAGGGATGTGGATTGGATAAATGGACAGTAAGATGGATAGAAAGATGGCTAGAAGGTCGGGCCTAGCGGGTAGTGATTAATGGCTTGATATCACGATGGTGGTCGGTTTCTAGCGGAGTGCCCCAAGGTTCAGTTCTAGGACCGTTTTTGTTCAATATCTTTATTAATGACCTGGATGAGGGGATAGATTGCACCCTCAGCAAGTTTGCAGATGACACTAAGCTAGGGGGAGAGGTAGATATGTTTGAGGGCAGAGATAGGGTCCAGAGTGACTTAGACAAATTGGAGGATTGGGCCACAAGAAATCTGATGAGGTTCAACAAGGACAAGTGCAGAGTCCTGCACTTGGGACGGAAGAATCCCAAGCATAGTTACAAGCTGGGGACCAACCAGTTAAGTAGTAGTTCTGCAGAAAAGGACCTGGGGGTGACAGTGGATGAGAAGCTGGATATGAGTCAACAGTGTGCCCTTGTAGCCAAGAAGGCTAATGGCATATTAGGTTGCATTAAGAGGAGCATTGCCAGCAGATCCAGAGATGTCATTATTCCCCTTTATTTGGCTCTGATGAGGCCACATCTGGAGTATTGTGTCCAGTTCTGGGCCCCCCACTACAAAAAGGATGTGGACGCATTGGAGAGGGTCCAGTGGAGGGCAACCA